ACACACAATCAGGGATGCATTATTGTAATTTGTTTTTTGTAAAATATGTTACAAAATGTGGGCCCGCATCATTCTAGATGGGCAGGGAACTTTTATGGGTCACCTGCCCGACTGCAGGTTAAGTTTGAAGTTATTTCAATCACTGAATGTAAGTTTATAACCCAAAGATCTTGGTTCGCGCATAGCGGATCGTAACTTCCTGAATTATGGCCCCTGATTTTACGAAAAATCGCGTTTTGAGCTTGTGGTCCCTATAGAGGTCACAATGGATCCTCTAGAGGTCACAATTTTTATCCGATTTTGATGAAACTTAAAACATATCTTTATATTCTAAAAATCTGAGTCCCTTTTGATATTTGCGCATTTCAGACCATAACTTTTTGGATTATGGCCCCTGATTGTACAAAAATTGTTTTTGTTTTTAACTTGTTCTCCATCCATCTCTTGCAAAATGTGGGCGTATCCTGCCTTGCCGCCCCTGAAACGCAAACAGTGTAAAAATATGGTATATCAAGGTTGTGAACCCTCTAGAGCTCACAATTTTGATGAAACTTGAAATGCATGTTTATAACCCAAAGATCTTGGTTGCTGTCGATATTTGCGCATATCAGATCACAACTTCCTGAATTATGGCCCCTGATTGTACAAAAAATCACTTTTTGTTTAGCTTGTTCTCTATCCATCTCTTGAAAAATGTGGGCGTATCCTGCCTGGTAGCCGCTGGTTGTCCGATTTTGACGAAACATGAAATGTAGGTCAATCTCCCGAAGATCTTGGTTCCTTTCGATATTGGTATGTATCGGACCATAACTTCATGGATTATGGCCCCTGATGGTACGAAAAATCACATTTTTAGCTTGTGGACCCTCTAGAGGTCACAATTTTGATCTGATTTTGATGAAACTTGAAATGCATGTGATATTAAACTGGATAATCTCTCTGTCTCGGACAAATTAATATCTGATCATTTCCCGGCAACTTTTAATCTTATGATTCAGAAACCACAACCAACAAGAAAGACTTTAACATATCGAAGGTTTAAATCATTTGACATAAATAAATTTAAAGAGGAAATAGTGAACTCGAATTTCAATGGCATTCAACGTATTCAAGATATACAAGAGAAGGCAACCCAATATCACTCAAAGCTTGCTGAAATTTTGGGCTCGCTTGTTCCTCTTCAAACGAAAACATTTACTATTCGTCCCAATACGCAGTGGTTTAATATTTTAGAAGCCAAAAGGGACCGTAATAAGGCTGAACATCTGTGGCGGAAAACAAATCTACATGTCCATAAACAGATTTATAAATCTTTAAAAAACAATGTGAATAAATTAATTGAAGATGCTAAAATTAAATTTTACTCTGATAAAATAGAAAATGGCGAAAACAGACAAAAAGACCTGTATAAAGTTGTGAATTTCCTTTTGGACCATAATGCTGAGCGTACTATCCTCCCGGACAATGATAATGACACTGAACTTGCAAATTTATTCTCTGATTTCTTTCAAGTAAAAATACAGAAAATACGAACTGAACTTGATGATTTAAATAAAACTATTGACTTTAACGCTCATGATTTTGATAAGTTAGAAAATTCTGTTTATTTAGAAAATTTTAACTTGGTTAGTGAATCTTTTGTTTTAAAGCTAATTAAATCCTCTGCTCCTAAATCTTGTTCATTAGACCCTGTTCCGACTTCTGTTCTTAAGGACTGTCTAGACGAAGTTATTCCAGTTTTTACCAATATTATTAATTCTTGTATATCATCCGCTACTATTCCCAACGTTTTCAAATGAGCTTATGTTACCCCTTTAATTAAAAAGTCTACACTGGATCCTAATGTTTTTAAAAATTACAGGCCAGTCTCTAACTTAAGTTTTATTTCTAAAATATTGGAGAAATGTATTGCTTCTCAGATAAAGGCCCATCTAGATGATAACTGTTTGTATGAACCATTTCAAAGTGCTTATATACAATTTCACAGTACCGAAACAGCTTTAACCCGGGTTTCAAATGATATTTTAATGGAAATTGATAATAGAAAATGTACATTTTTAATTTTATTAGATTTATCTGCTGCTTTCGACACGGTGGACCCTTCCATTCTTCTACGTAGACTTCAATTTAAATTCGGTATTTGTGGCTCTGCATTAAATCTTTTAGAGAACTATCTTGTGGGTAGAAAACAGTGTATTTTAGTTAATTGCAAATCGTCGTCTGAATCAGTTTTGTCATCTGGGGTTCCCCAAGGTTCTGTTCTTGGTCCGATTTTATTTACCCTCTATACGTCACCATTAGGAGATATTGTCAGAAAATATGGTCTCAGCTTTCATTTGTATGCCGATGATACTCAATTATATATTTCATTTACACCTAATTGTCCATCTTCTTTCAATTTATCAAAATTGCAACTTGAGAACTGTATTAGTGAAATTAGAAAATGGATGTCAAAGAACTTTCTAAAATTGAATGATGATAAAACCGAATATTTGTTATTAGGCTCAAGGCATCAATTAAGTAAATCTGCACAAGATAAACCCCCTGTTGTAATTGGTAATTATTATTCTGCTCGTAATGTTGGCGCTATCTTTGATAGTTTTATGCTTATGGGAGCTCAAGTAAATAATATTTTTAAATTGTGCTATTTTAATATTAGAAATATAGGTAAAATACATAAATGTGTAACTGTAGAGGCCACTAAGTCACTTGTTAATTCTCTGGTCACTTCTCGATTAGATAACTTTAATTCACTTTTAGTTGGTTTACCTTTAAAGCTTATAGATAAATTACAAAAAGTACAGAATACTGCGGCTAGACTTGTTACTTTAACTAAGAAATGTGACCACATAACTCCTGTTTTATATAATTTACACTGGTTACCTGTTAAATATCGAATTGATTTTAAGATTTTATTACTTACTTTTAAATGTTTAAATAATTTAGCTCCTGTTTACCTCTCAGATCTTTTAGAACTTTATACACTTGGCCGAACATTACGTACATCAGATAAACTACTTTTAAAGCCCAAAACTGTTCAACTAGTCTCTTATGGTCAGCGCTCTTTTAGTTATCAAGCACCTGTTTTATGGAATAATCTACCATTTAGTTTAAGATGTTGTACATCTCTATATTCTTTTAAAAAACAACTTAAAACACATTTATTTAAACAGGCTTTTAACTGACTCTGTATACAATCGTTAACATGCCCATAATCTTGTTGTTTATGTGTGATTTACATTGTCACTTTGTAAAGTGCCTCTGAACATGTTATATGAAAGGGTGCACTATAAATATGCTGTAATAATAATGATAATAATAACCCAAAGATCTTGGATCCTTTCGATATTCGTGCATATCGGATTGTAAGTTCCTGAATTATGACCCCTGATGGTACGAAAAATCACATTTTTAGCTTGTGGTCTCTCTAGAGGTCACAATTTTTATCCGATTTAAAAAAAAACGTTTTAGTATATCACCGTTAAACCCTAATGATGGTTGGGTTCAAATTTCGGACCAAAACTGTCGGACAAAATGGTCTCCCCTTGTACGCAAATAGTGTGAACATCATGTATATCATGTGGACCTCCTAGATGTCACAATTTTGATCCGATTTTGATGAGACTTGAAATGCATGTTTATAACCTAAAGATCTTGGTTCCTTTCGATATTCACGCATATCGGATCTTAACTTCCTGAATAATGGCCCTTGATTGTATGAAAAATCGTGTTTTGAGCTTGTGGTCCCTATAGAGGTCACAATGGACCTCTTTATATCTTTATATTCTAAAAATCTCGGTCCCATTTGATATTTGTGCATTTCAGACCATAACTTTCTGGATTATGGCCCCTGATTGTACAAAAATTTGTTTTTGTTTTTAACTTGTTCTCCATCCATCTCTTGCAAAATGTGGGCGTATCCTGCCTGGCAGCCGCTGGTTGTACAATTTTGATAAAACTTAAAATATATGTTTATATCCGAGAGATCTCGGTATATCGAGCCTTAAATTTCCTGGATTATGGCACATGATTTGACGAAAAATATGGTTTTTAGCTTATGAAACCTGTAGAGGTCACAACTTTTATGTTGCGGTCGCCTCTGTCCGTCCGTCCACAATTTGTTTGTGGACACTCTACAGGTCATAGTTGACTAAACTGTAACTTTATGGATTATGGCCCCTAATTGTTAGAAAAATCATATTTTAGCTTGCGGAGACTCTAGAGGTCACAATTGTTATCCTATTTAAAATACTGTTTAAATATATCACTGTTGCACCCTAATGATGGTTGAGTGAGAATTTCGTGAAAATCAGACCGAATCTGCCCGACAGAATGGCTGCTCCTTGTATGCAAATAGTGTAAAAGTATGTAATACCAAGGTTGTGGACCCTCTAGAAGTCACAATTTTTTATACATCCACATTTGTTTGTGGACACTACTGGTCACAATTTTTATCCGATTTAAAAAAAAACATTCGAATATATCACTGTTACACCATAATGTCAGACAAAATGGCTGCTCCTTGTACACAAATAGTGTTAAAATATGGTATATCAAGGTTGTGGACCCTCTAGAGGTGACAATTTTCATCTGATATTGATAAAACTTTAAATTTATGTTTATATCACAAAGATCTCGGTTCGCATATATTGGAACGTAACCTATTGTCCCCCACCTTTCGAGGAAAGCAGGGGACTTAATATGGGTTTGTCCGTCCGTCTGTCTGTCTTTCTGTCCATCTGTTCAGTGTTGGCTAGACTAGGTTGGACCTGGGAGTGACGTGGGCCAGATATCCTTGGCCTTCGGGTTTCGGAGTTATACTACTTTTAACCCGTGCAGCGCCAGGTCATTCGCTAGTAGTATGCTAATCATGTAATCAATATTGACGCATATCGGATCATAACATCCTGGATTGTGGCCCCTGATTTTATCTTCTTCTCTGCCATCTCTTTCAAAATGTGGGCGTATCTTGCATGGCAATGGCTTGTTCTCTTTTTCAGAGACCAGTTACAACAAGTATTTGATTTGGTTCATGAAGTAGATCTTTTAGATAGTCGTGATTCAGCCAACTTGGCATTACTTGGACGCCCAGACCTCAGCTGTACATTTACCAAATTTCACTGTTGGCGATTGACACAGTACGAAAAGGCAGTGTTTTTAGATGCAGATACATTGGTAATACAGTAATAATTGATAGTTTTAGTGTACAGTTTAGATGATTAGCAGTACATGATGGGTTGGAATATTTATTGATAGATAATTTGATAAAGGACTGATGAGTTTCTACATTAGGGAAAAAGAAATCTTGATCAAAATTTAAAAATATATGTCTTGGTTTTAAGGCTGGGAATTGATATGAAATTTCAATATCGATTATCGGCAAGAATTTGTCAGCGATTATCGATAATAATCGATTATCAATCATTCTTCCGGAAAAACCGAACTTTACCGACCTGTTATTTGTGTTGATCGAGTTACAGTAGTGTTATTATCCTAGTCTAATACTGTGCCGATGTACGTAAAAAAATCAATTAATGTAAAATAATTAGTTGCTAAATGTAGGATTAACTTGAGTATTATTCTAAGTTTTGTTCTTGATTCATTTAAACCTTTTTTTTATTCCTATATCTCCGATAAATACCAAGACAATACATGGTTTCTCTTTGCAAGTTACTGGCGATCACACAGTGTTACTAATAATAGAATAAAATATAATAGAAGGCGTCTATTGATTGGACAATAAAAAAAATAATTACCGGCTTTCAAAGTAGGATTTTTATGATTGGTTAATTTTGACGAGAACCAAAGTAGAATTCTTCCAAGAAATTACGAGAGATATAGATATTTTCCCGGGAAGTCAAAAACGTGTTTTGTATGGGCTGTATCTGACATGATTTAGTAATAAAAGCTGAATTGATCATTAATAATACAATTAGTTTTATCGTGAAAGCAGACAATTTCTCTACAAATCAATCAAGAGCAAAGAATGGAGATAATTCTAATTTTACTATATCACGTGCGATTGTCATTGTTCACAAAGTGCGTGACCTATTTTGGTTTCAACTAGTAATAACAACAAAAACAACGAAAATATTAAAATAATGTATTTAATCTTAAAATTTAGTTTTTTTACAATAATATATATTTAAAATGTGCCAGTTTGTAAGCAGAGGGGGAAAATAGTTGTTGTGTTGACGTTGTGTATTCGTTCATTCGTCTGCATGCCAGACTACGGCAAGTTCAGTCATGTGAAAGTGACTGTAACTTGCCGTCAGAAGGTAAATATACCGATAATCGATATTTGAATTTCAATATCGATTATCGTATCGCTAAATAACTTCTACCGATTATCGATTATATCGATATTTTTGCACAGCCTTACTTGGTTTTAAGCTTTGGCATTTTTATATGCCCATATTTTCCTGTGGACATATTATCTTATAGCCCCGATCAATAATCAATTGGGTTGTTTATTTTTCAACAGTTATCGAGAAATTAAACGCTTGTAAATAAATTGGACACTCTTTATTTATCAAAATTGAATGGTCAGCTTTAATCTGGACACTAGTACAAATTAGATGATTTTTATGAGATCATATTTTCATGTGGACGTATATTGTCGTTACCCCTGTCTATCGGTCTGGACCCTATAGAGGTCATAATTTTTATCCGATTTTGACAAAACTTGAAATATAGCTTGATATCCCAAAAATCCCTGTTCCTTTTGATATTGGCATGTATCGGCCCTTATTCTAAGTACTAGATGTGTTAGTGTGTTCTACCTGTTGTGTAAATTATCCATTAAATCCTATTCTACTTGTCTAGAGGGTCTGAAAATATTTTAAATCGAAGTCACATTTGAAAAGCTTTATGTTAGGCTATTCAAATCATTTGAGAGCCATTTCTTTCAAGGAAGGTAATAACCTCCAGATTTGATTGACTTCCTGTTCTAAGAATAGCTTTCCATAATGTCATCACTGGGATATCCCCCGCGTGTGGCGCTAATGTCAGTATTGTCCCAAATAATAATAAATGCATAAGATCAGCGGAAATGGCAATTTAAATGACTTGGATTACCACACAATTAATTCAAGTTGATTAATGACATTCTATAGACAGTCCGTCCGCGGATAATCTGCTTGTATTGTTTACAGATATATAGCCTATAACACGCTGGTGCCAATATCATCTACAGGCTCGAGTTCGACATTGATTGACAAGTGTTGATTTTTTCCGTCGCTTGACAAGTCGTAAGTAATATTTAAGTCGCGCGTGTAGTTATTAGATTCGGCTAAGAAGCACAAACAAGCAGGATATCAGAGAGATGGTCATTAACAAATGTGAATTTGGGAACAGAGCAGATTAGGTGGGAAGAATTGAAGGACTAATATTAATATAAGCTGAACATAGAAAGCCGCGAAGAATAATACAGGTAATTTGCAAAAAAATATATGTTATCAATGAAAACCAAATTCAACCTATTCTTATAAGCTTATTATTTTTATACGCCCACATTTTCAACTGGACGTATATTGTCGTCGCCCCTGTCAGTCCAGAATTGTTTGGGAACACTCTACAGGTCACAATTTTTATCCGATTTCAATGAAACTTGAAATATAGGTTAATCACCCTAAGATCTTTGTTCCTTTTCGATATTGGCATGTAACGTGGTCACAATTTTTGTCCAATTTGGTTTAAACTTGAAATGTATGTTTATAACCCACAGATCTTTCTTCCTTTCGATATTCGTGCATATCGGACCATAACTTCCTGAATTATGGTCCCTGATTCTACGAAAAATTGCGTTTTTAGCTTGTGGACCCTATAGAGGTCACAATATTTATCCGATTTAAAATAAACCTCTGAATATATCACCGTTACACCCTAAGGATGGTTGCGTTCGAATTTCGTAAAAATCGGACCGAAACTGGACAAGATGGCCGTCCCTCGTTCACAAATAGTGTTGAAATATTGTGTATCAGGGTTGTGGACCCTCTGCAGGTCACAATTTTCATCTAATTTGAATGAAACTTGAAATGCATGTTTATAGCCCAAATATCTTGGTTCCTGTCGAATTTTGTACATTTCGAATCGTAACTTCCTGAATTATGGCCCCTGATTGTACGAAAAATCACGTTTTTAATTTGTGATCCTCTAAGGTCACAAATGATATCCGATTTAAAAAAACGTTCGAATATATCATCGTTACACCGTAATGTTTGTTGAGTTTGAATTTCGTGAAAATCGGGTCAAAACTGCCGGACAAAATGGCCGCCCCTCTTTCGCAAATAGTATAAACATCTGGTAAATCAATGTTGTGGTCCCTCTAGAGGTCACATTTTTGATCCAATTTCGATGAAACTTGAAATACATGTTTATAAGCCAAAGATCTTGGTTGCTCTCGATATTCGCGCCTTTCGGATCCTCACTTCCTGAATTATGGCCCTTGATTGAATTTGTGGTTCCTGGAGAGGTCACAATTTTTATCCGATTTAAAAAAAAATGTGTGAATATATCACCATTACACACTAAGACCTTGGTTCCTTTTGATAATCGCGGATATCTGTACTTAACTTCCTGGATTATGGCCCCTGATTGTTCGAAAAATCGCATTTTTAGCTTGCGGATTCTCTAGAGGTAACAATTTTTTTCCGATTCTAAAAACCGTTTAAATACATCACCATTCCACCATAAGGAAGGTTGAACTCGAATTTTGGGAAAATCTAAATGAAACTGTCCTACAAAATAGCCGATCTTTGTATGCAAATTGTGTAGAAGTGTGTAATGTGAAGCATAGGCATACGAGCCGGGTGGGGGGGGGGGGGGCAGGGAGGGTGAGGTCCCCATACCCCGCGACGATTGATTGTTTGTTTGGAATTTGGGTCAGCCAGGTAGGCTATATTGGACCAAATTGAAGTTGCTGTATTCACAGGCTGGAATAGCAGGAAAACGCATTTGCAACAGTTAAATTTTCAAAATTATCTCCCAACGGTCCCATCTCCGTGGACTAAACGATTGATCTTTTGATTGGAATGCAAATGGGGAAGACCGGTGCCGCTGTCTGTAAACCCGAAATTTTTTCGGGCATTTCGTGTTCTGCCCCCCTAACTGTCATCGAGCTCGTACGCCTATGATACGAAGGTTGGTTAAATAGATCATTTGAACTAATGTTTAACCTGCATTTAAATTTATGACAGAATGAGGCTGATAACCCAAGGTTTGTCAGTTTATTTGATGATCATCATTTAAATGTTTTCACTTCAGTTTGCAAATATCCCAGTAATAACTGAAAACAGGGCTTTTACTTGTTATTCTAAGGACTGTTAAGCATGTCGTACAATAATTAACCCCCAAAACAATAACTCTTTCACAATTTCAATCATTCAGGTACACAGAAAATAATTTTAAGAGGGCACAAACTGGGCTTTTGCACCAATGAAAGGAGCCAAGCAATATGGCTTCATGTTATCCTTGCTATATAATATGGTGGAAGCGGACGTAAAATACAACTAACACTAACCTAGGCCCAGATGCCAGTAAAATCTACAAACCTTACCCTCAGCAGATCACAGCACTGATTGCAACACAGACCAGGCTGCGCACGCTCGCAATATTACGGTTTCCCACACAAACCCCATGAAATTTTACCTTGACCACTACCCCGCAAAAGGCAATGTGTCTTTATTTAAGCAAACAAAATCGAATATGCCTACTAATTATTGATCTCACATCTCCCACCCATACTGGTCTAAGCCTACTATGCGGCTTCTCTGGCAAATTCTAAGGAAACACTTGTCTGCAGTATTACCCTAGGTGGAAACCGGTATTAAACCTAAAAGCACCCCCCCCCCCTTCCCATTTAGGATGGAACATAAAGGAAAAGTTCACTGTGTGGGGCTGACCTCTGAAAGATTGTTGGGACCATTGCCAAAACCAAGCCTGAAAGGGAACTAGATTTTAATGTAAGAATTTTTATATGCAATTGTTTGTGGACACTTGAAACTTGAAATATAGGTTCATCTCCCCAAGATCTTGGTTCCTTTCTATATTGGCATGTATTGGACTGTAACTGCATGGATTATGGCCCCTGATTGTACAAAAAATTGTGTTTTTCGCTTATGGACCCTCTAGAGCTCACAATTTTGATCCGATTGTGATGAAACCTGAAATACATG